TTGCTTGTGCTTATGCTTCTGGAAATAACGGCAGCTTCAGTTGAAGCTAACGCCGAAAACGAGTACTAATAAAATGCGCGTCAACTTCGGCAGCCATCGGTTTGAAAAAATTTCATTTTGCTTGCTTATGATTTTGATCAGTAGCACAAGTCAAAGCAAAAGCAATATCTCTGCTTTAGCAAGTCGTCAACAGTTGCAGTCGATGAAACAGAAGTTCTGCTTTTGACAAGCCATCAGCATTCACATGCATCAGTCGCAGTCGAACAAAAAGCAAAATTTGATCGCTGAAAGACGGCGAAGCACTTCGCCAATCAAAAGCTTCGACAGTTTTCAGTTTGACTGACTGCAACTTTTGGCGAATTCCGAAGTTGAAGCAGCACATAATTTTCGCTTCGGCAAATATTGTAACTGTCGCAGTCGACTGTTTTAAGCTATGAATGTATTTCTTTTGTCATTGATTCTGCTTTTCAATTGCTTCAGTTTGTGAATGCGTGTCAAACAGATCGGTGGCTATTAGTGTTTTTAACGGCAATGGCGCGAAATAAGCAAAATGAAATTTGGAAGTTTTTTGATAATAATGAAAACGACGGTTTTGCTACATGTAAAACATGTAAAAATAAACTTAAAAACAATAGAATTGCAAATCTAAAAGCACACTTGCTGAAACTACACAATGTAAATACTTTCGAAACTTCCGAAACTTCAAGGACAAGTTCTTTATCAAAAGTGATACGCAAAAAGAAAATTAAAATTGAAATTAACAAAAAGCAGCTACTGCGTTCATATATTGGTCTTGTCACCGAAGATTTTATTCCTTTTAATATATTAAATTCGCCTAATATGAGAAATATTTTAAATCCCATTTGTGAAGGCTTTAAAGCCACAGACGGAAAACAAATATGTTTGAATGGGTCCAACTGCAATTAGTTGCAAACAATGTACGAAACGACATAAGCGCTGAAGTAAAAAATAGATTGATCTCATTAAAAATCGACAGTGCTACGCGGTTATGCCGAAACATTTTTGGCATTAGCGCTCAATTTATAAGTAATGGGCTGATAAAATCACGCATCTTAGGGATGATAGAATTGAAGGGTGCTGGATCGAGTACAAGCAAAAACCTGCCACCGAAATTATAAAAATCTTAAAAAAATATTGCTTTAAGACAGATAGTGTCAGTTACGTTGGATAATGGCGCAAATATGCTCAAATCAACTAAAATGTTATATTTTGTTTCCGAAGAAGAATCGGAAGAATATGAAGCAGACCGAACAGATGATGAATATCTCAAAAAAAAAATAACTTGTGGAGGAAATACCAGATATGTTATTGGGCAACATTCAAGTTTGCCGC